AAAAAAAAAAAAAGTTTCCAAATCAAAAAAGACTGGTAAGACTTTTTTCCTTTATTTCAGATTAATATGAGGGTATAAACAATTAGTTTACAATGTTTGCATTTGTTAGGTAAAGTCCCTGTCTTACGTAGTTGTGCCCCTGAGTGTACCCAGGAGGCATACCATGTGTACTTACATTATGCCTATGAGGTGAGAACTCACCCATCCCTCTCATTGCTCCCCTAAGATTGCTAAGATTTTAAAAACTAATTTTAGTATTAACCCTGCTGATTAGCCACTACATATGGAAGCTCTCTTTGTAAAACATAAAGTGGTAAGAAAACTAAGTTATTATCTTTATTACTAGAAAAATGAGAAATGGAGAATAAACAACAGAATAAAAATGCTTCAAAAAAGCACTGATATAATTTAATGGGAAAGAAACGGAAAATTTAATTGAAAGGAAACTGACAACTATACATCTGTATGAAAAAGAATAAAAAAGGGGAGAGACATAGAGGTACATTCAGTTTTACTTATAGTTGGAAATGGCTCATATCAGACATGGAAAAAATCTACTCCATTTGCAATGTTCACACACAGTTTGCACCATGGCCACACACCTGAGTGCCACTCCTCATTCAAGGCACTTTCACTGCTGGGACTGTCCTCCTCCTCTGCCAGCCCTGTTCCAGTGGCAGTCTGCTCCACATCACTGTTCTTTAAGATCGACTCTTCCTCCTCACTGTATTCCTCACCAGGTTGTTCCCTGAGTAACTGCTCCATTGACGCCTGGAGCTCTTGTAAATCTGTGTCAGTTTCTTCAAACACACTGAAATTTAAAAAGTTAAGCTAAACATCCCTAAAACTTTACCTTATTCTGAAATTTTACTTCAACTCAGTATGCAGACACTTCCTTCTACCTAAAAGTACTAATACAAGATAAAAAGAAATTTGAAGAAAACCTGTATTAGGTTTTGCCAAGAAATTGAGGACTACTACAATTGATAAACACAGTGCAGAACACACGTATTCTAGAATATACTAGAAGAATGACTTGCTTAAAATGGTCCTGATCCGCCAGAGAATCATGAACTCTCAATAGTATTCATTGCTTAAATTTTGAAATAATGTTTTATTATTTTACGAGGTTAGTCTGTAAAGATTTTTTTATGTGCTTTCTAAGACAAATATAATCAAGTATTTTTCTCTAACATAGTTCTGAAATTTTTGAAATCCCCACGTGGATGTTGTAATGGTTGTACACTAAATGAAATGTTTTCTATATTTTACAAATAGAAATACTTAGGGAGTTATATGTTGAGGTTAACAGGATGATCCATTGAATAAAAAAAAGTAACCAGAAACCTTATCTTTAGACGCTTATTCTTATTTTTTTTTTAGTCATCTGTGAACCCAATGAGTGTATAGGTTGGTAGTCTGGCCCATGGTCCCAGTGTCTTCTGGTCTTGTCCAGGTACAGCTAAGCTTCACTGAGTAGACTTTTCTGTGTAATTAGAATATACTAACCATCATAAACTTCATTGGAGAAGCCTGTTTACAAGTTATCAGTCAAGATGTTAATTCTATTTTCATGAGATTATAGATGCTGTAATTAACTTATTAATATCTTACATTTAGGCTCGGC